ATGTGGGGCGAGGTGAACACACTTGAAGGGAGAGAGAGGCTGCAACTAGATTAAGACAGACTACAAAAGTGGGCAGATGAGAATAGGATGGGGTTCAACGTAGACAAGTGCAGGGTGCTGCAGCTTGGGAGAAGGAATCCACAGCATACATACAGCCTGGGGAGTTCCCTCCTTGACAGTACAGAGGTGGAAAGTGATTTTGGAGTCATTATCGACTCCAAGATGAACATGAGCTGCCAATGTGAGACTGCAGCCAGCAAGGCCAGCCATACTTTGTCATGCATCCAAAGATGCATCTCAAGCCGATCCAGAGAAGTGATACTCCCCCCGCTATGCAACACTGGTCAGGCTGCAGTTGGAGTACTGTGTCCAGTACTGGGCACCGCACTTCAAAAGGGATACGTCCAGCCTGGAGAGGGTTCAGAGGAGGGCCACCCACTTGGTGAGAGGGCAGCAGGACAGGCCCTACAAGGAGAGACTGAGGGACCTGTACCTGATCAGCCTCAGCAAAAGGAGGCTGAAGGGGGACCTGGTGGCTGCCTACAAACTCATCAGGAGAGATCAACAGCAAATAGGATGTGCCCTGTTCTCCCAAGCACCACCTGGGGTGACAAGGAACAATGGTAATAAGCTGATGGAGAATAGGTTTAGGTTAGAGATCAGAAGGCGATATTTTACAGTTAGGGTGGCCAAAATCTGGAACCAACTTCCCAGGGAAGTGGTCCTCGCCCATACCTTGGGCAAATTCAAGAAGTTGGATGATCACCTGTCTGGGGTCTTGTGAACCCAGCATTCATTGCTGCCTGTGGCAGGGGGTCAGGCTAGATGATCTGTTCAGGTCCCTCCTGACCCTAGCTACTAGGAAACTATGAAGCTATGGAATGCTGAGGCAAGAGACCGAGTCAGAAGGGGTATGGGCAACATTTGAACAATGGTTAAGAGTTCATCACAGCCTCCAGCCCATTGGAGCCCTGACCACAAATGGTGTCATACTTTTCCCGGGATGACTGGTGGAAGTCCTTCCCACAAAGTTTATGAACACTTATGCTAAACTGAGGCTTATTCACAACAGGTAAAAATACCAAACCCTGATTCTGTAAGCATATCTAAGCCATCTGAGAAGAAACAATGAGGTATCCCATCCAGTATATCTGATATCCATAAGAATTTCAAGCTGGCTCCTAAGTGTCTGGTTATGCCTTAATCTTATATTTTTTTCTGGTTATTAATCAGTTTCTTGAGATGTTCCAAACCAAATAAGCCCTTACCAATAGAAAAGATAATTATTTACACAATTAAAAGAATGCTTTGAAGAAGCTGAACTGAGGGTATAAAAATCTGTAAAAACAGCAAACAGCATGCTTCAAGAGAGAGAAATCTCTCTGACACCATCTGCTGTTGTTCTCGAGAAGCTGGGAGAAACAGATCGTCTCCCTTAAAGGATCGTGCTGAGAGCTATGCTTGTCAACAAATCACCTGAGTGCCTTGGAAGGGTGAGATCCCAGATCTTGCTTTCTCTCTCTCTTTCTCTTCTTCTCTCTAGGCATAGATTTCTGAACCTGTATTGTATTAGTTAAGCTTGAGCTAAGTTTCCTCAAATACTCAATGAAACCAGGGTAATATTATAATTGTTTTGTTTGTTTTTCCTTGCATGTCTATTATTACTAGTACCATTATATATTTTCTATAATTAGCAATAAATAACTTTTATAGACAAAATGGTGGTAACCGGGTGTATTTTTCCTTCTCTGCTTCCCTTCCCCATTTCCTCTGTAGCAATGCTTCTTTTACCTAAGCCAAAGATCTCTGTGAAGCCCAGAAATACTGTGGGGTCTACTCAGCAAGAAGCTACCGCTACTAGGTCAGTTAGAGCAAAAGATTGGGACGTGCTGAGTTTGAGACATATAAGGGGATCAGCTTGTACAGGCTGGTTGAC